TTTCTCTGTCGGATAGTTTTTAGTATTTTGGTATATCTTTCACTCCCGATATCCGATTGTAGTGATTCAAGATGTATTGCAAAGCTAACGTAAAGGGATACAACTTTACTTCAGATATCATCTTCAAATTCGATTGTTTTTCATGTTAAAAATGGGTCCCAACATGAGGTTGAAAATCGATACATGACTTTTTCGATTGAAAATTGATGTGTGATCATACTTTGACGATATTTTAGCCCTTTGATGTCTTCTTTCATCCAATTGACTCCTAACACTCTCAAATCTTCATCGTGAGGTTCAACACAACTTTTGTGTATTTCTACGTTAGTCCTTGAACTTTCATTTCCAATCACTTTGGTCTTTTTTCACCTATTTCTTCTAAATTACATCATGTCCATAGAATTGCCACCTAAATCAAAATATGAACGTAACGAGTACATTTTTGCACCAAATAAAAATAAGAGCGCATAAATTAAGGAGGAAAAAATATACATTTTACATTCCTATCAAATTCTCCCACACTTAGCTTTTGCTCGTCCTCGTGCAAAATTCAATTTTAATTACCCAAAAACACCCCAGGTTGTAATGCCATGAACATAGAACAATCAAATTATTTAAAAACGAATAACACATGATAAATAAACATTCTCACACAACTCATAATCAATTAGCAAGTATTTTTATATGAAGATGTAGTAAACCAAACATGTAGACTCTCATAAATATAAGCACTCAACTCTCATGTGTTTAAAAGGTAAGTGTTTCATTCAAATTCATTTCAATGAAGATGATCTACCATATGCTTGCATATCTTCTCATTTGCCATCTCTTAGATCGCATGTTTTACAAGAATCATTAGGACTTTTCCAGGGTTGTAACGTGGCTTAGGGTCAAAGTGGGAAATATTGGGTATGTGACTCAAGAGCCATCGAAACTAGTGGAGTAAAGATAAATAGATTTAGCTCAAACATATATATAAGACATGTAAACCAACCGCTCCACATGACAGCTTCATCATTTTTGCATCTATCCCACACAAAT